CACCAATTACTCCACATGGAAAGCGCAAGTCACAACCTTGCTCTTCGGTTATGACTTAATTGGATATATTGATGGATCCTCAGAGTGTCCTGCTCAATTTATCATTGAAAATAATCAGCAGCTTGTTAATCCCAACTATAAACTCTGGCAGCGCCAAGACAGTTTGGTACGCAATGCTATTATGGCATCTGTTGATCACTCTATTGCTCCAATGATAGCGCACGCAGTGACGGCAAAGCATGCATGGGAGACACTTCAGACAACTTTTGCAAGCAAATCACAATCCAGAATTTTTGGCCTTCGTGAGATTCTTGCCAATCTACGAAAAGAAGCTCGACCAGTTACTGACTACATGAAGGAAATCAAAACTATTATTGATGATCTCGCCTCTAGTGGATCCCCATTATCCAATGAAGAACTGGTTATCAAAGTACTTAGTGGTCTTTGACCCTAGTTTAAGGAAATTTCAGCAGCTATTCGAGCTCGTGACAATCCTATATCTTTTGAGGAATTATATGATAAACTTCTAGCTCATGAAGTCTTTGTTCAATATTCAGAGCCCAAAGCTGCTGCTCCAGTTATCACAGCCCAATTTAACCAGCGTGTTTCAAACGCCCAAATTTCTCAGCGACGAAACTACAATACTGCTAGGAATCAAAACCCACAACGACGCAACCAAAGAGTTCCACATTCAAACCATACCTCTAATGGCAGGAACTTTACTGGCCAAAATCCATCCTCTAAATCTTTTGGATCACGACAGCGCGTTCAGTGTCAACTATGTGACAAGTATGGTCACATAGCTAAAGTTTGTCACTCTCAGTCACACAACAAATATGAAGCCCAGGAAAATATGGCATCTCGCTCCTACAACAATAATGATAATTCCTGGATCATTGACTCTGGCACATCTCACCACATGACAAATAACCTTGGGAATCTTACTTCTGCAACAGAGTTTTCAGGCAGTGATGACATAGTCATCGGAGATGGTAACAGTAATCCTATTTCACATATTGGGCAAACTACTCTTCATTCTACTTCATCCACTCGTCCTTTCACACTTGTACATGTTCTGTGCTCACCAAAGTTAAAACGTAATTTACTTTCAGTAGCTCAATTTTGTCGCCAAAATCTAACTTCTATTGATTTTTTTCCTTATTCTTATCTTGTAAAGGATTTGAGCACGGGCGCGATACTGCTTCGCGAAAGGAGTAAGAATGATCTCTATGAGTGGCCAACCACCAAGTTTCCAGTCAAGTCCACTACTACCTCACCACAAGCCCATTTTGTTGTCTCACCGCCACCGGATCTACACTTATGGCATGCAAGGCTTGGTCACCCTCAACCACGAATAACTAAGACCTTTATTTCTTATTTTGGTCTCTCAGTAGCTTTGAATCAACCATTTACATTTTGCAATTCATGTCTTTGTAATAAAAGTCACCAACTTCCTTTTGGTGAAACTTCTGTTAGAAGTCATAGAGCCTTTGAAATAATTTACTCTGATGTTTGGGGACCATCTCCCATCACTTCCTTTGATAATTTTCGATTTTATGTTCTCTTTATTGATCACTTTACAAAATATACATGGTTGTTTCCCATTAAACACAAATCTGATGTTACACAAATATTTATTAATTTTAAGAAACTAATTGAGAATTATTTCTCCACCACAATTGGTACCTTGTATACTGATTGAGGTGGTGAATATCTTGGCCTCAAATCCTTCCTTCAAAACTCTGGCATTCAACATCTCCTGAGTCCTCCATACACACCTCAACTTGTTGGTACAGCGGAACGCAAGCATCATCATGTTCTTGAAACAACACTTGCGATTCTTCACCATGCTTCTATCCCTGTCAAGTTTTGGTCTCTTGCGGTCCAAACAACTGTGTACCTTATAAATAGATTACCAACTCCCCTCCTCAAAGGAAATTCTCCCTTTCAGACTTTGTTTCACCGTTCTCCTAACCCTCAGAAGTTAAAAGTATTTGGTTGTCTATGCTACCCTTGGTTACGACCTTATTCAAAGCACAAACTTGACTCAAAAAGTCGTCCTTGTGTGTTCATGGGTTACTCATCGTCTATGAATAGTTATGCATGTCTTGATCCAACCACCAACAAAATCTTCATATCACATCATGTAGTGTTTGTTGAGCATATTTTTCCATTTGTCTCTATGCATACTGATCTAACCCGTGTCTCTACCGTATTAACAACTACATGGTTATGTCCCTCGGCCCAGTCACCTATTCCTCCAACCTCCACTAGTATCCCAGTTGAATCGTCCATCCCCTTACCTCCAATTACTCAGGCACACTCATGCTGGGACTTCTTCAACCTCCACGGACAGTGCTGCTACCGCATCTCCTCAAGATCAGGTACATTCTTCTCCATCTCCCTCTTTAATCTCTACTTCTCAGACCTTGGCTTCATTACCAACTATATGCCCAAATTCCCAAACCCCATCAGCTCCTCCTCCACGACATATTATCACTAGATCCCAAAATAATATTTTCAAACCTAAGCAGGTATTTGATTATCTTGCCACAAAATCCTCTTCTCTGGTACCCTTAACTCCTAACACCTTCAAACAAGCACAAAAGTATCCCAAGTGGTGTGAAGCAATGAATGTTGAGTATGCTGCTCTTATGAAAAATAGAACCTGGTCTCTTGTACCATCTACTTCTGCTCAGAATATTATAGGTTGTAAATGGGTGTTTCGTATTAAACATAAACCTGATGGTTCCATTGAACGATGCAAGGCTCGTCTTGTAGCTAAAGGTTTTCACCAACGCCCAGGAATTGACTTTCATGCTACTTTCAGTCCGGTAGTTAAACGTACTACTATTAGACTTATTCTTTATCTAGTTGTGACTTACAGATGGGCTCTGCACCAACTCGACGTGAACAATGCATTTTTGCAAGGAACTCTAGAGAAATTGTGTTCATGCAGCAACCACAAGGATTTGTTGATCCTCTGCATCCAAACCATGTATGTCGCCTTCACAAGTCAATTTATGGACTTCGCCAAGCTCCCCGTGCCTGGTATAATGCTCTTATGCAGTTCCTCCTTTCATGTGGTTTCAAGAGGGCGTACTCCGACACTTCTCTGTTCATTTATCAATCTTCTAATGTCCTGGTCTTTGTGTTAATTTACGTTGACGACATCATTGTCACTGGTTCTTCAAAAGATCGCATTCGCTCAGTTGTGAATTCACTTGGAAGCAGATTCTCTCTCAAGGACCTTGGGCATCTCCATTTCTTCCTGAATATTGAAGTTATTCCATTCAATGATGGCCTACTTCTCACTCAAAGTAAGTTGATTGCTGATGTTCTCAGTCGCTTCAACATGCTTGAAGCTAAAGCTATTTCCACCCCAATGTCTACCACAGAACCCCTCACTTTCAATGATAGTTCTCCCGCTGCCAATGCAAAAGAATACCGTCAAGTTGTTGGCGCTCTGCAGTATCTCACCAACACTCGGCCAGATATCGCATTCGCTGTCAATCGTTTAGCTCAGTTCATGCACTGCCCCTCCATGAAACACTGGCAAGCAGCAAAGCGTCTTCTTCGCTATCTCAAACATACTATCACATATGGCTTACATCTCCGACCGTCAACTTCAATAAAGCTTGTTGCATATGCTGACGCTGATTGGGGTGGGGACCCTATCTCTCGTGCTTCAACTTCAGCTTATATTATCCTCCATGGTTGCAATCCTATTAGCTGGAGTTCTAAGAAGAAACGTACAGTCGCACGATCCTCTACTGAGGCAGAGTATTGTGCCGTTGCAGCTGAAATAAATTGGCTTGTCAACCTTCAACGTGAGCTTCATCTTCCTCTTCCCCACACCTCACTTATTCTCTGTGATAATATCGGCGTCACCTATCTGTGCAAGAATCTTGTATTCCATAGTCGCATGAAACATGTCGCTATAGACTTCCATTTCGTTCGTGATCAAGTTGAAAAGAAGGACATTGAAGTCAACCACATCTCATCTGTTGCACAGCTTGCAGATGCTCTTACTAATCCCTTGTCAAAGAAGTTGTTCACTGACTTTATTTCCAAGATCAGTCTCCGTCCAGTAGAGCCGATCTTGCGGGGGCGTAAAGAGGATAATACGGATAAGGCATCGTCACAACCAACTCAGATTTGATTGAATCTATTTCTGTTGTAATGTAATTCCTAATAACATGGGATCTCATCTCATCCTAACAGCATAGCTTTTGTACTATAAATACTAACCTACAACAATGAGAAGATGTGCGTGGAAATTCTCACAACAACTTGAGTTGTTTTACCAACTACTTGTCTATAAAGACTCAGATCATCAAAGGGAGAGTTGTCACCTTTATGAAGCTTTACATTAATAGCCATGGGAGTACTCAAAGGGTACAATGGAGCATATCAACCTTGGGGAGTATGCCTTGGATATACTGAGATTGTGAGAGACAAATGTCATTACTTGTGCGACAAACCTGAATACCAAGAAAGTAATGCAATGGTCCGAGGTCTCATATTAAAAAAGTACTGCCAAGCACTAGAATAAATGAATTAAGAAAGGAAGTGTAATTCCTTCTGAGTATAATATCATCGATGTAGACCAACAGATAGGCAACAACATTCTCATGAGAATAAATGAACAGAGAGACATCTATTTTAGAGGTGGTGAAGCCAAAAGTAATAAGGAATTGATGAAGGTTGGTGTACCATACCCTTGGTGCTTGCTTAAGACTAGGACTGCTTATAGAGCGGATCGGACGGTTATTTACGCTTAACGGTTCAGCGTATCGGTTATCGGCTTGTAAATGTTTTAATCCGCTAGCCACCCGATACGATATCGGACGGATTTGTAGCGGTTTAGTTATTATCAGGCGGATATCAGGTGGCTTATCGGCTAAATCAAATAGACTATGAGTGCATATAACACTTGACATTAAATCACTAAATTTAAACCCATTTATATTAATTTGCTTGATCTGAACCTGCCCAAAAGCCTGATGCTTTTTTGTTTCTGCAGTACCACTATTTGTCAGTACAACTGTTTGTTTAACTATTCCTGTTTGCAAAGACACTTAGAATCACTGATGTTAATAAAGGTTCTATTTTTTTTATAGCTAAGATCAACGTAAGGTTGAACAGACAGACAGTGATACCACAACAGTATATTTTAAAAAATCTAGAACTATGGAAATGGAAATTTGGAAATAAAATCTAGAACAATTGGAGGAGACATCCAAAATACAATTGCTCCAGCTAACAGTGCTTCAATTTCTGCAGCTTCAAAGTTCAAACAACTTGCAAAAATGTCAACCTTGCCAACCAAAATACAATTCTGCCTTCATTCTTCATTCCTCCTTATCCTCAATGAGATGGATGCTTCAAAGTTGAAAAAGGAATTCCCTGAGTTGCTGCCAATCAAAGAATCATTGGTCAGATATTCTTCATCTCACTTAAATCTAGTTTTAGCAAATACACACAGAATCTAGTGTTGTAAAAGTGAAATCCAGCAGTAGTAATCAAGTTGGGTCATCTTCAAAATCCAAAATTGATTCATCTTTCATCAAGAACTGGATTGGAGAAGAGACATCATGCATTCATCTATTCTTCAAAGATTACTGTAAAAGCCTGGGATTGCTGGTTTAGAAGTGTTAATCAATGACTTCAAATAACAAACACATTAGTGCAGCCACAAGTCTAGAGCTAGAAGCAGAAAAATGAACTTCTTCTACTTGATGTAATTGATGTGCATAGTCCGTTAAGTGAATGCGGAAAACTACAATGACTAGTAATTAGAGCAGACATTTGGTAACTGGAATTTAACTACAAGGCAAATTAAGATTCTATGATAAGAATTATTCAAACTAAGATAGAGAGTGTGTCACGACCCAAAATCCAACTAGTCGTGATGGCACCTAACCCAACCCGTTAGGTAAGCCAACTTTCAACTATCCAATTCCAATAACAATTATTAAAGTAATTTAAGTAAATAAAGATCTTAATCCTATATATTCCCCAAGAACTGGTAGCACAAATCATGAATTTCTAAGAATAGAATTTACAAAACTGATAAGAAATAATACATCATATGTTCGAAATGTATATGAACAGATTGTTATAAATCTAAGGCTACCATGAACAAGAGGCAGCTACAACCGGGACGCATGTACATCTTCAGATCCAGATCCCAACGAACACAGCAATATCAGCAGCCAACATCTGCACGCAAGGTGCAGAAGTGTAGTATAAGTACAACCGACCTTATGTACTCAATAAGTAATAAACCTAGCCTTAGGTTGAAAGTAGTGACGAGCTTGTACCAAGGTCGGGTCCAAAACCAATAGTCCATAACAACGTAAAGCAAATAATACAATAAGTAACTCAGAGATAACATTCTCAGTTAAATCATGATTTTCAAAAATAGTTCTTCCTTTCAAGTACAACAGTGAAAACCCAAATCTTTTACCGAAGTTGCCAAAAATATGAATAAGTTTGAAAAAAATAATTTTCCCAAAATCCTTTCAATAATAAATAAGATGATTCATTTTCTTTGCAGATAACCAGTGTAAAACAAATGCATCACTATGCCCATCTGTCAATATGTGTGAGAAATCATGAATGATGTGATACTGTACAACATGAGAAAAATACATCTCTATGTCTGTATGTCATGTGTGCATGTCAATGCGATGCAACTCAGTGATAAAATCATATGTATACTCTTAGAGTATCATTTCACTCAGTCCTCCCAGTTACTTAGTCCTCACAGTCACTCAATACTCCAAATCGCTCGACACTCGCACTCGACACTCGGTACTCGTACTCAGTAGGTACCTGCGCTCACTGGGGTGTGTACAGACTCCGGAGGGGCTCCTTAAGCCCAAACGCTATAATCTGCACGGACAACTCACGTGCTATAATAATATCTGGATCCGCACGAACAACTCGCGTGTTGCATAGACAACTCACGTGCTATCATAATATCTGGATCCGCACGGACAACTCACGTGCTATAATAAGCCAACCTGGCCTGCTGCGGCGTGCAACTCGATCCTATAATTATCCTCACAATCAGGCTCTCGGCCTCACTCAGTCTCCAATCTCTCCAGTCTCTCGGGCTCACAATGTCATGAAAATCAGCCCAAAATGATGATATGATGAATCAATAAATAACAACAGAGACTGAGAGATGATATGAAATGAATGAACATGACTGAGTATGAAATTTTAATTTAAATAAATAATTCAACAACAATATGACCTATGTGGGTCTCACGAAACCCCGAATTTAAGCTTCTGCCCCAGCGATTTCCGCATCTGCGGACAAGGGGTCGCACATGCGACCCTCGCTTCTACGGACAATTGTCGCACCTGCGCTGCCCGGCTCACCATTTTCCGCTTCTGCGCCCATCCCTTCGCACCTGCGGCCTCGCAGATAGGGGCAAAATTTTCGCACCTGCGAGCACTGCCCAACTCCACTCTTGGCCGCTTCTGCGATTGGTTGCGCGCACATGCGGCCTCGCATCTGCGGTCAGACATTCGCAGGTGCGAAAATACCAGAAACAAAATTTTCATCAGTGGTTTTAAGTCCGAATTTGATCCGTTAACCATCTGAAACTCTCCCGAGGCCCCCAGGACCTCAATCAATTATACCAACAAGTCTTATATCTCAATACGAACTTAGTCGAATCCTCAAACCACCTCGAGCAATATCAAAAACACGAATTACACATGGATTCAAGCCTAACGAACTTCGAAGTTTCTAAATTTTATAAAGGATGCCGAAACCTATCAAATCACGTCCGATTGACCTCAAATTTTGTACACAAGTCACATTTCACATTACGGACCTATTCAAATTTCCAGAATCGGATTTCGACCCCAATATCAAAAAGTCAACCCCTCGGTCAAACTTCCCAAAAATTCAACTTTCGCCATTTCAAGCCTAATTCCACTACGGACCTTCAAATAATTTTTCGGACACGCTCCTAAGTCCAAAATCACCATTCGGAGCCATTGGAATCATCAGATGTCAATCGAGGTCTTTTACACATAAGTGAATATCCGGTCAACTTTTCCAACTTAAGTTTTCAATTATGAGACTAAGTGTCTCATTTCACTCTGAAATCCTTCCGGACCCGAACCAACTAACCCGATAAGTTATAAATCAATTGTAAGGTATAAATTAAGCAGTAAATAGGGGGTACAGGGCTGCGATGCTCAAAAAGACCGGTCGGGTCATTACAGAGTGCGTGCAGTAGTCGGACCTTTAAAGAAGGATACTACAAAGACTTTTTTGGTAATGGATTTGGGGAAAATTGTAATCAAACAGCTTGAAGTTTCAGTTCTATATTCATTCTAATTCAATTCTTATCTATTCAGCTAGAAGTAGCACCAGCACAAATACACCTAGTGTTAACATGTTTGTACAGTTTATACCTTTTAAAACACTGGTATGCTGAGAAAACTATATTAACACTGTCAAAACTAAAGTATATCTGTCAAAACTGAAGTAACATCTGCTAGTGTTCGAATTCTTACCAGATATATTAACACTACACATTAATTACGGAAGTGTCATTTCCAGCGCTAGCTAAATCTGAAAAAATATTATAATAATGAGTCATGCGATAAATATAAATTATTTACAACACTAATATACAACAAATATAGTAACAATATTATTTCCTTATTCAAGCTGCTCGATTTTATCAATATCTTCCTTAACACTAATAGGTTGTTTTAATTTTTCATTTCGAAGCCAATCTTGAAGACACACTAGAGCTTGCACCAATTTAGGAGTTAATGAACTCCTAAATGAATCAAGAAGGTGTCCTCCCATACTAAACGCGCATTCAGATGCCACACTTGAAACCGAAACAACTAATACATCACGAGCCATCTCCGCAATAACAGAAAATCTAGCTGAGTTTAATTTTACCGGAGAAGAACATCAAATTCTTTAGTGTCCTCCTCAGTTTCTTCACCAAAATATTTATTTAACTATGTTCTAGTATCCACACCTCCACTCACAGTTTTATATATTTTTAGATCTAGCATGAGTGATTCTAAAAGTCTTGTATTTTGGGTGCTTACTTGACTGCCAGAAAGCCCGGAAGTAGAAATGTCCAATGAAGAGCAATGTGAAGATGAAGCAAACGCGATACCTTTTGAGCTGGACTTTACATATTCACTAAATAATGAAGACATATACTTCTTCACTTCTTGTATAGTTGCCCCTGGATTTTCACCAAATATCTTTACAAGTGCATAGTCAACTGATTCGAGCTTGTAATTTTATCCAAAATACATGAGATGAAAATTATCTTGTTCATTTTTTCTAGATCACCCCAATACTTATCAAACTTTTCTTTCATCTTCTTTGCCATTTCACTTAAAATTGTATCTTCATTTGCCATCAATTGCTTCAAATAAACAGCAACCGCACAAATTTCAAGAAAATGAATATTTGATGTAACATAACGTGACCTAGATATTTTCAAAGTAAGAAGATAGAAGATTTCAAGAAACTTTGTAGTTCTTTTTACATTCTCCCAATCACTACTCAAAAGTTCACCAGTAGGAATTCCAACTTCAATATAAGAATGCTCAAGATAATGCCTCATGCCAATTCACTAGAAGCATAATGTGAAAATGCACTTTCAAATTCAACAGCCCTACGCAACATCAAGTAGGTGGAATTCCACCTAGTTGGAACATCCAAGCATAAAGTTTTTTTTTGTAATTGAGTTGTTCATCATCAAAACGTTTTTGAAACCTCTTCAACCTCGCGGAGACTGCCTAACATATCTCATTGCATGCCTAACACGTTCAACAGAAGCTGAAGATTCTTTTAAACCATTCTGGACTACAAGATGCATGATGTGAGCTATACATCTCATGTGAAGGTGATTATCGTTCATCAAATTAGTTACCATTTTTGTTAATTACTTAGACAATTCTTTCTCTTTCACATCATTTGAGCTTGCATTATCAACTGTGATTGTGAAGATCTTATTTATCCCCCACTCACGTAAGCACCTACCAATACCATTTGCCATAACCTTTATGGCTAATAATAGGACAAAAATTAATTATTCTCTTATGCATATTACATTCACTATCAGTACAATGGGCAGTGATACACTTGTAATTGATTCTTTATATAGAAGTTCAGGTATCAGTGGTAATACATACTCTTTATTTTGTTTCGATAAAAGACCTCTTCAACTTTTTCTTTTCTTCATTAAAAAGATCAACCCTAGTTACAGTACTACGGGAAGGGATCCGAAAATAAGGTTGCGCTACTTTCATAAAGTCTCTAAAACATTCTTTCTCAACAAAGCTGAAACGAAACTCATCAACGATTACCATACGCCATAATGCCTTCCTATACTCTTCTTGATCAAATTTTCAAGTAACAACAACTACGTCACCCTGACTACCCCCAAGAGCAGATTGAAAGCCCAAATTTGATTGTTTTTTTTATCAATATTAGCAGGGCGTTTAGGACACTTAAATATATGAGAAAGAAGTATCGACGTACAGTTATTTGTCTTAAAATAATACTCTCAAAAGCAATAGTCACATTATACTCACTCGTTATTTAGTGCAAGACGAAAAAGTATTTTTCATTTAGAACTTAATCGAAAATGAATTAGAAAAGTAAATTTATTTCCATAAATTATGTTTGCTAACTATGTTTTCTGAAACTTTATGCTTTCAAAACTTTTATATATTAAAAGTATACCAAGACAAAGTATGACGAGGAAAATGGCATTCTTCTGCCACAAGTTTTATTTAACTAAAATCCTCTTTTAATCCCCAGAATAGTTTTGACATTTCCCCACACTTTTGATATAGATTTGGTCTCCAATAGCATAAAAATAAAACAATCTCCAAAGGAACAAAAATAAAGTTTCTAAGATTACATAGATCCATAATGTAATTTTTTTTTATCAATAGCAGAACTAAAGATTCGACCATCAAGTAAAGATTCGAAAAGGAGAAGAAAATAGCTGACCGTGTGCCATCTGCTGCTCTGGCTATGGCCCTATGGAGGAAACGAGGAAGTGACTTGATGCTTAGAGAAGAGAATGAGATTTTCGTTGAGTTTTTGCCTTGTTGGTGTCGCAACTCGCAAGAACTGTTTGGTTGAGTTGTTGTTGCCTCAAGTTCAGAGACATGTAGTACTCAAGTTGAGACCTTGAGACCTTTCTGTGGAATCCTTAGTGTGGTTGAGTTGTTGTTGCCTCAACCCTCAAGTTCAGAGAGTAGAGACTGAGAGGCGAGAGCGGAGAGAATGTTTTTGACTGCTGAGGCAAATTAGAAATTAGGAATTTAGATTTTAGGGTGGAAGGTATATTTAATATACATATGGATAAAAATATAAATATAAAAATTCTTTAACGGTTTATCCGATAAAAAAAATTGAATAATACACCCTCAAACTGATAAGAATTTAATTACAAAATTTTAAACCTTTCACCATCCATTAATTCGATAACCTGATACCAATAAGCCAATTTTGCGATTCGATTTTCGGTTACGGTTCGATTTTGAACAGCCCACTTAAGACTGTAAAGATTTGTCAAGCTTGCAAACATGAGTAGGGAACTATGGATGAACAAAACGTGGAGGTTGAGCCATATAAACATCCTCTTGCAACTCACCACGTAGAAAAGCATTTTGAACATTTAATTGACGCAGTGGCCAGCCATAGGTCACTGCTAGCGACCAGATAATGTGAATGGTTGTGGGTTGTACAGCCAGACTGAATGTTTCATGATAATTTTGGCCCTCTACTTGATGAAATCCTTTTGCAATTAAGCGAGCTTTGTAGCGTTCGATAGTTCCAATAGAGTTCTGTTTGATACGGAAAAGCCATTTGCACCCAAAAATATTCATAGAGAAATTACAGGGAACCAACGATCATGTTTGATTTTTGAGCAAGGCTGTCATCTTATCCGACATGACATGTCGCCATTCTTTGAATTTGGGGGCCTTAGTGAAGTTTGTAGGCTCAGTTGTTGGAGGAATAGAGAGAACAAGAGCATATTTAGAACTTGTGGGGCGGCTCAACAGATCTCGGGGCCTAAGGCGAAATCATATTCGGAGGCCCTTAATCTCAGTATAATCCCACTAGTGAGATCTGACTGGTCGATTTGCATTTAGACACTGGGCGTAATTGCATTGCATGGGATATTTGGGGTGGATTAGTGGAACTGGGTTTGTGTTTGGATGCAGTATGCTGAGACACAGTTGAAGTTTGTGAAGGAGACAAAATCATCAAAGGAGTAGGAGGAACTGGGTGGTCTATGGGAGTAATAGATGAAGTAGAGATTGGACGAGAAGTTAAGCTCGACAAAGAAGGATTGCAAGGAGATGGATGTGAGTTAGTAGTAGTTGGGACACTTCTAGAAGGAGCCTTAAATTGGTAGATCGGCGAATGTGACAAAGAGACAGGTGAATATACCAAAGGTGCATATTAACTGGAGGTGGGCGTCCTAGAATAGACTTGTTTGCAAAGGGAAATTTGGTTTCATCAAATTGGACATGCCTGGCAATATAGAGCCTGCCAGAACATGTATCAAAATATATGTAACCATGGTGCAACTGACTGTATCCTAAGAACACACTTGGTTGGCTGCGAAAATTAATTTTGTGATGATCATAGGGACGTAAGTATTGAAAACAAATACACCCAAATACTTTGAGAAATTGATAATCCAGCAAGGTGCAAAAAACAACTTCTAATGGTGATTTGCCATTGCTAGTTGAACTATGTCTAATTTTGCACAAAGAGTTTATAAAGGACAAAATTCACCACCCCAATCAGTTTAAAGTGTCTTAAGTTTGGTGTTAAATTGTCGTTCAACAAGAACTTGAAATTGAGTAAAAAAAGATAAGACATCAGATTTCTGAAAAGTGAATAGCACCATGTAAAGCCAGAAAATCATCAACAAAGACAAAAAGAAAGCGATGACCTTAAGAAGATAGAAAAGGGGAAGGACCCCATACATCCGCAAAAATAAGTTGTAAGAAGAAGTAATTCTGTTAATTCAAAAAGGCAGAGACAACTTATGCGACTTGCCAAGTTGGCAAGCAGTAATGTGGATGGCCTAGCCAAAGATGCCAACAAGCAGAGGAGACTTTAATGGCGGTGAGGGCGCAAGGAGAGCTTGAAGACTTTTTCTTGATTGACATGGAGTAGAGGCCACTGTTATTCTGACCTGAAAGAAGAGGAGTCCTGAAATCCCAATCATTGACAAGAAAATGATCAGGGTCAAATTCAAAGAAAACACTATTTTTGCGAGTAAGCTTTTGAACAGAAAGAAGACGCTTAATTATAGAGGGAACATGAAGAATTTAATTTAAGGAAAATTTGCAATTGGAAGAATTGGAGAAAGAGGCACTACCAGTATTCTGAATTGGCAAACCTTGCCCATTACCAACATGTAATAGATTCGGGCCTTTGCACTCCTCAACATGATTGAATCTTGAGAGATACAGTGCAATGTGATGAGTGGCGTCTGTATTAGGGAACCCGTTTTGAGTGAGTGGAATTGGTGCGTGATGAGTAAGATCAGCAGACGGATTGGTAGTATGATTGTAGCATGGAAATCATGTAGAAGCAAGGTGATTAGTGCCATTGCAAATCTGACACCTTGTTCGTCCATCATTATTTGCAAGGTTGTACAGCATTAGAATAGTTTAATCCATAGTCATTCTGTGGGTATTGGATACGACCACCCTCTCCCCCTATATGATCTTCCTCAACCTCTTTCGGAATTATTATTGTTATTATATTATGGCCATTATTCTGTCCATCACTAGAAGAACGTTGGGAAATGTTAGCAGCTGGTGTGGGAGATGAGTCACCTGATATTAGGGAGAGAGAGAGAGAGAGAGAGAGAGGAAAAAGAGGAACCATGAATGAATTCATGATTTAGCAACAAACTATGGAGCTCTGAGTATGAAACGGGTTCGGTCTTGCACATAAAGTGGTAACAATATCCTTGAAGTCAGAACTCAACCCTTTGAACACATTAATATTAAAATTCGAATTGTTTAATAGTCGCTTTGCTGCTGCCAATTCATCTGAGAGGAGCTTTGCCTTTTGGAGAAACTGAGGTCATCTTGTTTTAGGTTTTGATACATGAATATTAAGAACCCTAGTGTTGGAGGGATAGGACAAGGCAGCCTCCAAAGCATCCCAAATATCTTTGGATGAATTCAAACCAATAACTATAGGTACGGTTTCGCCTGAGAGAGAGAGAGAGAAAGAGAGAGAGAGAGAGAGATATTAGAAGGCTCATAACAATTAAATAGCAAATTCTGGATTGGATTGAGTAGTGGTCGAACCTTCAACAGAAATAATAGTCGGTGGATATGGCTTTGATCCATCAATGAAGCCATGGAGATTTTGACCCCGTAGTAAAGGCAACAACTGTGTCTTCCAAAATATATAATTGTTGGAAGCGAGTTTAATGGAGATAAAGTGGTGAACATGGTTTAGAGGGTTGGAGGAGGAAGAAGATATGACGGGGTCTGTTGGAGAAGCATCGATGGTGGGGAGGGATGAAGTAGATGAAGAATGGAAATCGGCTTCTGATACCATGTTAAGTTACAACGTAGAGAACCAAAAAGCTTTTAATTCTTCATTGATTTGCGTACAATGAAGTGACATTATTTGAAATATGATTATTTATTTAATTAGAGTCGTCATTTGGAATAATTATTATAGTGTCACAAGTCACCGATTTATTTTAAAATCCCAAATCGAGGAAATTGACTCTGTTTATGGTCCGTGAAAACCAGAAGACCGGGTAAGATATTCTGTTAACCCGGGAGAAGGAGTGAGGCACTCCCGGATTCCGTAGTTTTAGCACGGTCGCTTTAATCATACCTGGCTTAACTAATTGTTTAATTATGTATTTTAGAACCTATATGTATTTTACCTTTTATCGCTTTTTAATTACTTTATTACTTACTGTGTTATGGAACAATCTTAAAATGAACCACGAGTGTGTAAATCCATTTTATTTAGTGCTCTAAAAGTCATGTCACGCGTACGTGCACATAATTAACAGCACTAAAGTAATTATTAAGATTGTTTCGCCCAAAGTCGCGCGAACGCGCGAACGCATACCTTGGTTTTAATTTTGGCAATCATAACTATGTCACATGAACGTGTACATAATCACGAGAATTTATTTATTAATACGCGCCTAAAGCATACTAGCGACTATTAAGAATTATTTTTCCTAAACTAATTTGGAGATTTGTTGTGAGGCCGTGATTTATGGAAAGTTCTTTGTAGGATCAACTATTGGATTCCTTGGCAGATTCAATTACTTGACTAAATGAGAGGAAATCGAATGAATTAAGTCATAAGAAGTGGGCTAATTACTATTACTTAAAGGGACTAAACCAATTTACGAAAAGAAAATGGGACAACCACATTCGCTATTTGGAAATAGAGATGATCGTATTCCAGAAATTCCAATAGCATTTTAGCTCTGTTGTCCAGGTATAAGCAGACATGGGCTAAGTATAGAGTAAACTACCATAAGGAAAAATGATGTCCAAATGAACTTTCATGTTAAGCCCAATTGTGTGAAACTTTCCAGCTCCTGGCTTCCTTTTGAAGTCTGGGCCTCAAGCAAAGGCCCAAATGAACGAGGAAAAATGCCATGAGCTTATAAGGAAATTTTCGCTGCACCTAGCCCATGACACGTTTATTCACAGACATGGTTGGCCAGAAATGAAAGCAGGCACAATTAATCTACTAAACTAATTGAACCATGATTAAATACTTTCAGTAAACTGAATTGATGCTAGATTTAAACACGATTGACAACTAATTCATACATATGAAAATCTGAGATAGAATATACATTAGAGTGATGCTTTAAGCTAGTTACATAATCAAATGAACTGATAGTTTTCTACAATGGCCACATCTCGTGATCCTTTTGGCTTGTTAGAGCTTTGTGACAAAATAGCTACAAATCTATCCTCACTTGTTAAATTCAAACACTATGCTGAGCAAATTGAAAGAAAGCATGAAACCAGATTCCTGCATCACTTCACAATTAAGTGTACATAATGAGGCTCGCACACCATTCAGGAAGAAAGAAAAGAAAAAAAGAAGACAGAATGACATTCAAACAGATGCTAAATCACCTATTGACATTCAACAAACCACTCACATGATCTTAACATTCCAACAATTACACATATTAACAAAGATGAAAACTACAATAGATTTAGACTTTAAACATGCTGAAACTACTAAAACATTGCAAGAGTATAGCATAACCAACCCAACTTCATTTAGAATTCAAGTAGAAGCTAACAAGGTGGAAAACGCACCTACTAGCAGTGAAACAGAGAAACACGGAGCAATCTGAACTTCAAAGCTACAGCTCAAACCAGCAGAATGAATACAACAGCAAAAATAATGAGTTTTTCAACTCAAACAGCTATGGAAACCAAGATATATGCAATAACAGAGTAGGAATAAAACACAACTTTGAATCTTCTTTTTGTTTTTGGGTTTTTTCTGTATTTAGATGGAATTTTCATAATGTTTTCTTTGAGGGAAATCAGTGAGAATTGAGGATTGAGGATTGAGTGAATATATGTGTGATTTCTGCAGAGAATTAGTCTATGTGAGTGAGGGAATTGAGGTATCTTATATAGGGAGTGTACTATATGAGAGAATGAGAGAGAGTGTATAGGGGAATCTGTCAGCCTCCCTAAAAAATAGGAAAAGAGCATCTTTTCTAAACAGAAATGGACAGCTGTCCAATTCAAATGATTCCTTCCTATTTCTCCACCCCACTAACTTCTGAATTTACCCTTTTTACCCCAATTCTGACATAATTTTCCTTGTCTTATTGCATTTTAATCCTTGCCTAGAAGCTTCCTACATAACTACCTAAGATTCCCTATTTTTCAGATTCCCTTAGCCCCGTCAAGTTTCTAACAACTACAAATAAAATACACCAAAGAAACAAGAGATAAAAAACAGACAAACAATATGCTGAAACTAAATTAATGACCTGCTTCAATATCCAACTAATTCTGGACCAATTAACCTAAATTTATGCAATTAAACTAATTTCATGTAATTGGACTACTGATTATACAATTAATTGTTTAAATCTAAGGATGCAAACAAGTAATTACCAAACCGGATGCAAGAGTACAATTAATCCATGAACTAAGCTATTCTAGCAAAAACTAAATTAAACAAGCAAAACAATTTCAATTAGATGCTGATTAATAGACAAGACAGTGAGTATATGATAGAACGAGATGTTGGTATACCGATTGGAACACACACTGGAGGAGGAAATGGCCAAACAACGAGGTTCGAACGGATTCTGGTGGTTTCGAAATGAATCGAAACTAACGTATATCGATTGCTCTTGTCAAGAGTAGTCGATTCACGTAAGTTTCAAGCCAAAACGACTAGCAAATCATTGAGAGTCAGAGATGGGACGAACTCAGCTTTTTCTGGAAATCAAGATCTAATATTGGGCGAGTTCTAGTGGGTTTCGAAGGGCGAGGTTAGGATATTTGGAAAGAGGGGGAAATAGAGGTTGTCTGGTGTTAGTTTGGTGGTGTTTGGAGTGGTGCCGCCGGTCAGGGATAGATTTGGTGACTGAGGGCCGCTAGGGTTTGAGAGAGAGTGAGGAATTAAAAATTGTCTCTAGGGTTTGGGGTGTCTGTTCGGACAGTTAAAAGGGGAAAGGGGATTAGTTCAGAGCCGTTGGATAATAGGAAATCGACGGCTCAGATCGATCCAGTGCAAAACGGGGTCGTTTGGGGTGTTTAGAAGGAGCAGGTTGGATAATGGGGATTGGGCTGGGCGAATTTGGAGCAAAAACTGGGCTGCTGGTCGCTGGCCCAATTTGAAGACAAGGCAAATAACCCCTTTCTTTCCTTTCTTTAAATTTTCAAAAATAACCAATTTATTTAACACTCCTAATTCTAATTAATTTTGCAAAATTAACCTAATGACCTATTTTTTTAATAATTAACCAATTCAATTAGCTAACAAACGCATGTAAAGTTACTAATGTATTTTTGGTATTTTAGTGTTTTACAAATACAATTAATTATGCAAAAATAAAAAAAATCTAAAATGTAGAGATTCAAAATATTTTTGTATTTTCTTTAGGATTTAAAATGCTACTTAAAAATGCATCAAACGTGAGTATGCACAAAACAATCCAAGTAAAATATAGAAAAATCCTTAAAATTCTATAAAGTAATTTAAAGCTAAATATTTTTTGAATTTTTAGAAGTAATTTTATATTGGGCAAAAATTACGTGCTCACACGTACACTGATAAATTGACATATATAGTACAAGGAGTCACTAGTGTTATAAGTAAATACAAATACGAGAAGATAGATACAAACAAGTCCTAGAAAGCTTCCAACTACTTGGAGCAGCTGGCGATGTCCTGGTCAATAGGATAGGTCCAATATAGGTACTTTATAGAGCTGAAGCTTGGACCTCACTAGGAGGAAAGAAATCTGATTTTTCATAAATCTTAAATCTGATGTTATACGCATAATGACAAATTGTTACAATTTATTCAAACAAAATCCATGCTCCTGCCAAGTTCAGTTGCTAATCTAGGTTGTAGACTTGGTTATTTATATTTGAATGTCATTGGGTCCAATCAAGGTTGTCCATGTTATATAAGAAATAACATTTTCCTAATTCGTTATCGTTGTTTGTACTCAAAATAATATTTTAATACTTATTGGCGTGCTTTAAAAATAAAAACTTAAGACCTCACAAAATTTTCAGGATCTCTACAGGTACGAAAATAGATCCATGCCATATCAAAAGGTTGCTGCTGTAATGATCCATATTCCATGCGAGTTTATCGTATGAATCATCCAACATAAGTATGAAGTTCTTGCCAAGTCTTTCCTCATGTAGGCAAAGTTGCACCATATAACTGTTGCTACACAGATATTGCAAATATCATACTACCATTAATGAAATAATAACTTCCACCTATATCGATAATCTCTAAATCATAATTGCACACTTCGCATTCGCATTTCATTCCTTTACAGTGAAAATATACAATTTACTAAAAACTTATGCAGTCAAGTTATTTAAGTCTGCTCTGAATCTGATTTTTTCTTCAATAATAATATGCATGACAAGCCTTGATAAAAGTATGTCAAATACTGGATCCTCGTCAATTTACAAACAATCTTTTAGGGAAGCGCATAAATAGTTGCTTACTTATAGAATAGCTGAAATTTACAATGTATTTAGAGATGAGCCTGCCACTCTTCGAAATTAGGGTGAGACGTGATAACGCTGAACCTACCTTATCCGTCAACCCCTGTTATCTAGCTATACATAATAATAAGGTTATTTAAATGAACCAAGTACGAATAAAATCTTGTATTAAAACCATCTAAAAATAGCTAAAGAAAATTTTGTAAACTAATGCGTGAAAATCTAACCCATCAATGATAGTCATGAGCCTCTGAGGACTAAAACTAAAGCAGTATTTCCGGGGTATTCCGCTGAACTAACAAAATATCTAAATGACTGACGAAGGAAGATAAACAAAACTACCGCTGGGAGAAATTAACGGAGTCTATCTACTGGATCCACGAAGAGTCCAAAATCTAGCCACGAGCTTCGTCACCTACACACTCAATGCCTACCACACGACGTGGCAGGACCAAACGGACTAAATATCTCCAAGGGTACCCAGTAAGTCTTAATTTACCATCCCCTAAGCGGAGGACAAGACTTTTCTGGACTAAACAATTATGATAAGAATATATTCAACATAACTTAAGCAATTTAGGACCCATTTGGCCATAGATTTTGCCAAAATTTTTCCAAATGTTTTTTGGCAAATACATGTTAGTTCATAAATTTTATCCATATTTTGAAAAATTCCCAAAACTCAAATCCCAAAATCAGCTCAAGAGCTGGTTTTGGCCCAAAATATTACTATTACATATTTTAAAAATTGCCCCAAACTTTTGTATTTTATAAAAAAGCCCACCATCTATTATTTTGTAACAATGTTGTTTCGTCTTCTCGGCCATCTGATAGTGTATTATGTAGTTCATTATAAAAATGATAATTTTGTACCAAATTTATTTATGTTCAGGACTATGGTTTGTGATAATATAATGAATGTTATTGATGAAGGTACTGTTGGGTATTTGTGATAGTTTTTAGAACTTGTGGGTATAAGTCATGTTTCATATTTTTTTTAAAAACAAAAATGAAATATGTTTTGAAAACTGATGTCCAAACACATTTTCATCTTCAAGTTAAGCTGTAATATGAAATCTGAGTTAAGCTAAGTTTTGACAACAGATTATAGCTAGTTTCTTTATTTTGAAAATTCTATCTAACAAACAACCGCACCAGCGAGTGTAGAGATGATTAGCCCAATCCCCGGCCCTGGGATCTTTTATTTTCGGGAGGTTTGCCATACCTCTCAAACACATAAATTTGATAACGTGGAGTACCTGCAAGTGCGGGGTAGCTAGCCCCGGCAACCATGGCTCTCACACTCGGGAGGTTGGCTACTTATCCCAGGACAAATGTGGTCACATTCATCAAATCTGAATTGAAACTTATTAAATTCAAGCAATGCCATAAAAGTAATCAAATAAGATATTTAGTCCTTCTGACATTTTGAGCTAGCTGAGTAATTATGCACAAACAAGGTAATTCTTGTAATACACCTATAACATAAGCTAGTAATAGAGTCACAATATTTAAACACTTGAAGGTTCTCTGACAAATGGTTTGAACATCTATATTCAAAATAGTCAGGTAACTTCTTATCAATATTTTTTTTGTTATTTTCTTGTCAAGCCCTTGACTCAGGGAATGTAAACTCGGCTTACCTCTAATCGAAAGTTCAAGTTTCTCCTTCCACAATCCTCGTAGCCGGAGCTCAAACAATCTTTAAAAATACCTTCACAAACCCTAGGTTTGTGGTTCTTAAAGAACTCTTTGATTCTTGGATAGAAATCTTGGGGAATAGTGTAGAACCCTAACTTGTTTTCTCCTTAAAAGCTCTTAAAATTGATGAGAAAATGTGATTTTTCTCTGTCCCCATCGCCCCTTTTATGGCCCTTTCACTTTGGGCACCCTGGTCACCATCCCTCGGTGCGTATGGCGCTCAAAGACTAGACTTTGATAATTTTGGTGCTATAGGCATCGCCCCTCGGTTCCCTGGGCGTTCACTGTCCGCGATTTATTTTTTTGGGTAATACAACCTACAATAAAATACTCGTAACTTTCTATAGAAATATTAAAATGATGAATAGTTTGTAGTGCTAAAAACTAGACTCAAAATTCTTTAATTTGATATATAGATCATAGCCTAATTCATTATATGGAGAAAGATATGATTGTTTGAATTTACGTCATGTGTGGCTAAGTTTATTTTTCATCTCTTTAATAAATCTGATTTATTCCCAACTATTTCTACTCTCCTCTAAATATCCATATAACCTTCCATACTTAAGATTTAGGTACTACATACCTTCACTATTTTCTGAATAGGTTATAAAATACTACGGAATTTTACATTCTTCCCCCTTATATGACATTTGTTCTCCTAGGATTGAGAAAAGAGTTAAAACTTTAATAATACTCTACTTATTCATACATAACCATGTAATCATGAGTATTAGTTAGTGCAACAAGCTACAATATCGAGGCGTAATGAATTACATGCCTGAGTCCTCGAATAGGAATATATATTTTTCTTTCATGTCCTGCTTGAATTTGCAAGTATCTTTCTCTAACCGGTTGCTCCACATAACGTTTACTGAAGTACTTTATTTCGAATCTTACAAACTTGTTTGGCCACCATCACTAAGTGGGACATCCTCGTAGGATAAAGTATCATTACCTTCAATCTTTTTCATATTAATAATGTGACTCGGGTCATGAAAATGTTGCTTTGGCATTGATACATGAAATACTAGATGCACGGATGACAACTCTGGTGGTACCGCAAGTCAACATTGGCGGAGCCACATTGAAGCAAGGGATGTCACCCATTCGCCGGAAAATTATACTATTTTGCTAGATAAATTTTTTTATTTTATGTATATTTACTATACGTTGACTCCCTTGACTTTTCGATGTATCTAATTATTTATATTTTGACACTCCTTGATAAAAATTCTGGATCCGCCACTGTATGCAGCCTGTGTAATGAGTATTGTATGCAAATACTAAGGATCCGTTTGTCCATATAAATTTTTTCCTTTTTTTCTAAATATTTAAAAAAAAATGTGTTTATCCATGAAATCTTGCAAGTTTTTGAATTTTTTTTGAAATAATCACTTTTTCAAAATTTTAAAATTTTTTTCCCCACTCACACAGCTGCAATATTTTTTCAAGTGAAATATTTGCATGTCCAAACATAATTTCCAATTTCAAATACTATTTTCCAACTTAACTCCAAATACTATTTCAAAAATTACAATTTTTATGTCCAAACGCCTACTAAGTCTTTTCATAATTTTGGCTTAGCTCTTTTCATAATGATGGAATGTAACATGTGTTTTCTCTTAAAAATAACCAATTTGAGTGGATCATATTATGTAGAGTGACTATAGGGCTGATCTAGTAATCAAGACCTCGGCAAGCTAGAGTCTTCTCAATCACCTCGGCAATACTACCAATACACTTGTAGAGGATCTCACTCCTTTGAGAATGACAAAACAAATACAGGAATTGATGTTGACCATACTTTAGAGGATCTCACTCCCTTCAACTTTATAGAAATGCAATGTAGAGATGGTTCCACTAAACGTGTCAGAAACTTGTGACACAACAGAATTCTCAATTATGCGGTTTCATATTCACTCCAGATTATTAAAAACTTGATATATTCCTTTTTTATCATGTAGCTTGTCGTTTCTCTGGATCAAGCCAAGTATCCCAACACTTAGGAAGGCGAGTTATAACTTTTGCGGTGTAAAGCTTCACCCACCCGCCCATCCAGGTTGCCATTCCAACAAAGAAGGCAGCTAATAATGAGTAGTAACATTTTAACAGCAAAACAGTTCAATTTATCTCTTCCAACTTGGATCAATCCAGAGGTTTATATCAACAAAAAATCATGAAACCATGAAGTTCGAAGTGAAAATCTATTGAAGTTGTAAGGTGAGATAGAAGAATTGAAGGAACATATAACATGTGTACCAGTCTACCATTTGGGTTTGGATTAATTACACATATTTCTCCATAAGTTTCCATGTTTCTGTTATAATCTAGCTGAAGCACCAGAAATGGCCTGATCAATGAGTTCTCTTCTCAAGATCTTTCCTGCTGGAGATCTTGGTATTGAGTTAATGAATGCAACGCGACGTATCTTTTTGTATGGTGCAACCTGCAAGATATCCTTTGGTTATAATATGCTTGAGCGGATAATCAGCAATTCTTATAGTCCATCCTAAGAAGAAACACAGTCATTTCATCAAAGCTTTCCATCTTTACAGAAAGTAGGAAGATTGTGTGTATATATACATACAAAAAAAAGCCAAGCCTGGTGCACAAAGCATCATACGTTCACATAAGGTCTGGGGAAGGGCCGCACCTGAAGGAGTGTAGTGTAGGCAGCCTACCCTGACACAAGCATCAGTGGCTGATTCCTCGGCTCGAGCCTGTGACCTCTAGGTCACATGGAGACAACTTTACGTTGTCTTATGTGGTGTTAGGATTAAAACAATTGGACAATATTAGCACGTATCCACTATACTCTAAGGTTGCAGTGCTTAAAAGTCTTAACAAATTTCATAGGCGTATGCAGCTTATGTTCAATGGGTTCAACTGAATTGACCAAGTTTAAATTACGTCTTGTGACAATCCTAGGCTAATAGATGCTTCTTTAATGGAAAGAGTTTTAGTCTTATATATATATATCGAATTGGAGGTGTACCTGTTTTGCAATTGAATCCACAATTTGTGACTCACTAATAGTGCTCCCAGGTTTTCTGACAACATAAGCCATTGGAATCTGCCCTGCTTCTTCATCCGGATATCTACATCAGAAGAAACGAAAAGAATGAGCAAAGCATCAGAACATCAAAGGGATTAAGAACTGCTTGGGAAGCTTAAAATATCCACAACTAGAAAAATATGCAGATGATTGTGTATAAGAGTCTTATTAGCATTTAAATATCAGCATAAAACTACTAAAAGAATGTTGGGTCCAAATAATTCCTTATGATTACTTGTGCCTACCCCAGACTAAAATTCACATGCTGAAATTTTTAAGCTGAATGGATCTTCTAATTACGATCGTCCTGTCTCTTTTATCATTTTTCTTATAACTGAATGTAGAAATAAAGGTATGATAAGATGAACACAAGCTTCTAAATGAACAGATTGTGACAGTGTGCCCCTGCACAATTCAGATGAGGACCAAAGATTTGATGATCTAAAAGCCTCTCGTCTCTTAGAATGAACGGGTATAGAATTCAAAAGTACTAAGTCAAAAGTATCCACATGATCGTAAGAGCCGCAGAAGAGAAATTAGAATTATCTTGCGGACATTGCTAGCGCTACAGAAGCCTGGAGAACTGGCACCTATTTTTACTCAAGACTTGTTAGGAAAAAACAACTGCCACACATATAACTATCAATCAGAGGATTCAGTCAAAATTATTACTCAATAAGCATGACAAAGCAAGGAATTGATAGAAAATTCTTGACATCACACTTCAGGATTGACGCAATACCAAACTTGATACAAGTCGAATTTGTATTACCAAGTTAATATGCTTGTTAGGTGGACTGATCAAGAAAAATGATGCATCAAGGATAACCAATTAATGAAGCATCTTAAAAAAAAAAACTCCGGCATAACATCTCAGAAATTATGCACAGGGATAAGAGAATAGAATACTTTCTTGACCAATGTCAAATTTCGATCATTTATTATGAAATTGGTAGTCAAGAACACCTATGTCCACAAAATGAAGGTAGCAGAAATGAGGATGTTGAGATGGATGTGTAGGCATACCAAGATAGATAAAATAAGGAATGAAGATATTATGGACTAGCTGGGCGTGGCCCCCATGGAGGATAAGATGCGGGAAGCGAGGTTTAGATTGTTCGAGCATGTGAAGAGGAAAGGCATATATGCCCCAGTAAGGAGGTGTGAGAGATTGGCCTAGGTGGGTCTAAAAAGAGATAGAGGTAGGCCAAAGAAGTATTAGGGAGAGGTGATTAGGCAGGACATGGCGCTGCTTCAGCTTACCAAGGTTATGACCCTTGATAGGAGGGTGTGCAGGTCGAGTATTAGGGTAGAAGATTAGTAGAAAGTCATGCGTTTTTCTAATGCATACAAGTAGTATAAGTGTTAGTCACGTACTTTCTTATTTTTTGTAGATTTCTATCACTACTTGCTCTTTCTTTCGCTTCAGTTTTTTTGTTATCTTGCTGGAGTGCCTGGTGCTACTGCTTTTTTCATTTTTCTTTGAGCCGAGGGTCTATTGAAAACAGTCTTTCTATCTTCTCCATGTGGGGTAAGGTCTGCGTACACACTACCCTCCCCAGACTCCACTTGTGGGATTACACCGAGTTTATTGTTGTTGTTGCTGTATTATGAAATTGGTAATTTTGGTGTACTCAAGCAAAAGTTGTAAATTATAGACAGAGTCGGAAAAAATCAGATACCAGAAATGATAATATGTCGATTTTACAAGCCGTCTTAATTTTATGGCTGAAGTTTCATTATTTCATGTCACATGTTTAAAAAAAATTGTGCTGTAGAGTGCAGAACATAAATCTCTAGCTGGAAGATCTGAAGAACCATGTCTAACTTCAAGAATGATCGACCTGTTTAACAGCTTTCACTGAATAGTAGCAGGACAATACAACAAACAAGTAACCTCTTTAAAAGCAAAGTCCATCTTGCAACTTTTGTTTAGTACTTCCCATATGTGCAGCCTTTGCATATTAGATAAAAAACATGAACACTCGAAATTACGTTTAAGCTGTAAAAACAATTATATTTCCATCATTGGGAGGACATATTTTCTTAGCTCTATAGGGTTTCTCAGTTCAACATTTCTGATACATGGATAGAAGGATGTCAAGGGACAGAAAGATAAAAGAGGGAGGAGCACTAACGGAATAACTGCTGCATCAGCAATTTCAGGAATTGATTGAAGCAACTGTTCCAGTTCAGCAGGGGGTACCTGAAAGAGCATCCATTCATAAGCAACGACATAGTAGAAGAGATGCAACTACAAGTTTGCATAAAACTCAATAGCTGTACCAGGATCACCATCAACAAAATTACCTGATATGCCTTGTACTTTATCAGTTCTTTTAGCCTATCAACAATAAACAGGAACCCATCCGAGTCAAAATAGCAGAGATCACCAGTTTTTAGCCAACCGTCTGACTTAAGAGTTGCTGATGTTTCTTGTTTATCTCCAACATAACCTGCCATTAACCAACTTTCTGTTTAAATACTCAAGCATACCAAAGAAAGTAGGTACAACACTAGTTAACATTAGATAAAAATGGGTATCTTTTTCGGTTTTTATTTTACTACTTCCATGGCATAACATAATGTACAACCAACTCATGACTATTATTGAACTGTCAGCTCATCCAATAATTGCTTTCACGTTCATCGATCCCAACTGCCAAGTTTTGCATAAACTAACAGGTTAATTATAAGCTATATATGCATTCACCTTTCATGATTGTTGGCCCGCGTATCCAAAGCTCTCCATGCTTCCCGGGAGGTAAGGCCTCTCCACTATCAGGATCGACTATCTTAGCTTCCAAATTATCTGCAAGGCGACCAGCAGATCCATATCGATCTGTTTCCTCAGGTCTTATCATCCCTGTACCTGCTCCCGTACTCTCAGTTAGACCATATCCCTATGATGAATCACAGGTAAACGCATTAAACCCAAAAGCTATGTCATATTAGATGCATGGAACGGCAATGCATCACTTCTTGTTATTGTTTTATTTTAGAAGAAAAAGTGTTAACAATAGCATATGCCAGGAAAGGCAACATCAGTTATTGTTTTATAATCAATAAAGAGGTAGACAAAAAGCAACACTTCTTGCTACTAAACATACAGAGGAAATAAACAAGCTGTTGAATGCTTCACACAATGTGGCTAAACAAATGAATACAGATGCATGCATCTGTGTTTACCTACATATATAGTTATATGGCTTTCAGAATCTCCTCTTTCAAGTATTGTAAAAGATAATGTAATGCACACATAGAATATGCAACCTTACTGAAGACTAGAACAGAATGGGAGCCTTGGAGCAACGGTAAAGTTATTTCTGTGTGACCTACAGGTTATGGGTTCGAGCCATAGAATCAGCTACTAATGCTTGTGTTAGGATAGGCTACCTACATCACACTCCTTAGGGTGCAGCCCTTCCCCCGGACCCTGCGTGAACGCGGGATGCTTTGTGCATCGTGCTGCCCTTTACTGAAGACCAGAACAAATGCTTATACATAAAAAACAATTCCAAGGGCATTTCCTTCTCATAAATATTTTGACCAAGTTTCCCAACACCGAGTCATGCATTATAAACTCTTTACTTTTTTAAAAGTCATCCCATCCTGAGATAGTGTTGCTAAAGGCTCACTTTGACGCACTCTTAAGCCAAAAGTAGGTGAAGCTCAAGTTGGACGTTTCACGTCGCTGAGGCATCATTTCAATACAGGTATCAAGGCACTGTGATGTGGATCTTATCACTCATGGACTATCTTGAAGAAGGCAGCACAAAATAATGAATATACTTGCAAAGTGATATATTAATTGCAATGAATATGTTATTTATTAGGAAAAGGAAATTTAGCAATTTAATATAAGAAAACTAGTCTTTTAACCTGAATAGAAACTTAAAACTTTATCTCCGCAAGTTTTCCAAACCTACAACACTACTGAATGAGTCATAAAGAAAATGAGATTTAAGAAGCCAAGTTGAAGAGTTATTAAGAAAGGGTATATACGAGAGAGCATGAGTCCTTGTGCAATACCAACCTTACTTACATCAAAGAAAGACGTAAGTTGGAGAATGTGTGTAGACATTAGGGCAATGAACAAGATCACTGTGGGGTATAAGTTTACAATTCCTCGATCGGATGGCATTCTGGACTAGTTAAATGATTCAATATTATTGTGAGAAGGCAATGGAGAAAATATGTTATTGATATTAGATGATAAATACATTACAAGAGGTCCCTATTTATAGCTATACACTACAAGGAGATATTACTCCTCTTCCAATGTGGGACAAGACTACACTATACATATCTGTAAACTAACATTCCCCCTCAAGCCGGTGCATACACATCATATGTACCGAGCTTGTTACACATGTAGCTAATACGAGAACCATTAAGAGACTTAGTGAAAATATTTGTTAGTTGATCATTCGACTTTACAAACTTTGTAACAATATCTCCTGAAAGAATTCTTTCTCTGACAAAGTGACAGTCGATCTCAATGTGTTTAGTCCTCTCATGGAACACCAGATTTGACGCAATACGAAGAGTAGCTTGGTTATCACACACCAGTTCCATTTTGCTGATTTCTCCGAACTTTAACTCCTTGAGCAACTGGTTGACCCAAACTAACTCACACGTTGCCATAGCCATGGCCCGATATTCGGCTTCAGCGCTAGATCGAGCAACTACATTCTGTTTCTTGCTCTTCCACGGGACCAAATTACCTCCTACTAGTACACAATATGCAGACGTAGAACGTCTATCAAAAGGTGATACTGCCCAATCAGCATCTGTGTATCCAACAATCTGCTCGTGGCCTCGATCCTCGAATTGTAATCCTTTGCCTGGAGCTGACTTTATATACCGAAGAATGCGAACAACTGTATCTCAGTGACTATCACAGGGAGAATCCATAAACTGACTTACAATACTCACCGGAAAAGAAATGTCAGGTCTAGTCATTGTGAGATAATTCAATTTGCCAACCAACCTCTTATATCTCGTAGGGTCTCTAAGATGCTCCCCCTGTCCAGGAAGAAGCTTAGCATTCAGATCCATAAGAAAGTCAATAGGTCTGCAACCCATCATTCCAGTCTCCTCAAGAATATCTAAGGCATACTTCCGCT